GGGAAACATGGATAGTCTCATGCAAAAAAAAAAAAAAAAGAGAGAGAGAGAAAGAAACTAAAACCATACTTAACTCCACACACTTCACATAGATTAAAGAATTGTATATAAGAACTGAAGCCATAACATACTTAAAAGAAAACATAGGGGATCCACTACAGAAAACCAACTACAAAGATATTATTCAGCATTTCAGGGTGCAGTCCCAATGACAAGGGGAACAAAAGTAAAAATAAACCAGAAGGGTTTTGTCAAATCAAAAAGCTTTTTGGCTCAAGAGAAACTGTCACAAAAAAGGCAACCCATACAACTGGTAGATCCATCCCATCAGAGGTTAATGCAAGTCAAAATCTAACCAGATATCACCTTGCCCCTGTGAGAATGATTTCTTTTAAAAGAATGGATACAATCGATGTCAGTGAAGATGTGAAAAAGGAGCACTTCTCTCTGCCAGCTGGAATGCAATTTGACACAGGCCCTATGGAAAACAGTACAAAGAAACTTTACAAGTAATAATGAAAAGCCCACATGGCCCAGCAATACCTCTGCTGGGTATTTACCCAAAGGATGTGAAAACACTAACACGAAAAGCCTCAGTCCACCTCGGTTCATGGCAGCACTGTCCATGACCGCCAGGTCCCGGAACCAACTAAGTGTCCACAGACAAGATAAAGAAACCGAAATAGATCCTCAGTGGGCTACACCCCGAAATGAAATAGGGCCTTTTGGTACAAAATAGGTGGAACCTAAAGCGACTGTGCTAAGTAGAATACTGACAGATGTCTTCACTTACCTGTTAAAGCAAATTACAAAAAGAAAATGTATACTGGCAAAGTGCTACAAAAACAAAGGGAATCTTCGTGAACGATATGCCGGTTACCAAGGGCAGGGGGCGGGAGGAGACAGAGAAAGGAACAGGACAGGCATTATCAGCAGGAGGTTTGCAGGCGAGTGAAGCATGTATCTATGGAGGAGTCGAAGTGTAATCCCAAAGGTACACAGACATACGAACAATTAGAACATGATTTTTTCAAACTCTGCTGCCTGTGTGTGAACCAGACTGTCAACCCCCACAAATGACCAAGAAGGCAGAGAAAGATTTACACAAACAGGTGGCAGCCTCGCATCCCCACAGTGGGAAGGGAAGGGGCTCACTCCCAGCCCTGGCCCCGTCCACACAGACAGCATCGATGTGTCTTCAAGTCGAGGTAACTGAGGAAACTGGAAACCTAAGCTTGTTTAAAACCAGAAACACCCCCTTCCAAGAGCACAATTATAGTTTTTAGCTAATATATCACTATTCCCACCTATGTAAATGAAACTCGAACTTGTAATTTGGAGATCAGTTTTCGCCCAAAGTACAATCTGTGGAACTGCAGACTGCTTCCTAGACTCAACGCCTAACTTTGACTATCTAACAAGCACGTTGTCTATTACTGAGACTTTCATTTCAGTCAATGTTGGGATGTTGGGCTTTATGTCCACAGAAAACCGTTGGAGTATTAACAGGGGAGTGACGTGATCCACGCTGCTGCTCCCATCATGCTCTACCTGAGTGAGAAGTTGGAGGAGGACAGACCTGGGTTGCTTACTTCAGTGTTAACCTTAAAGAGAAGGTCCCACAGTGTGGGGACACATCGGACACAGAAGAGGGCAGGTCCATGGCTGAACTGACTGAACTTGGCAAATGATTGGATGTGGGGAGTGAAGAAGAGGGAGAGGCTAGGATGCTTCTAGGTTTTCTGACTGAGCAACTAGGTAGATATGGTGCTTGAGGAACGCAGAGGAGGTGGCCTCTGTGTGGAAACATGGAGCTGTTATACGTAGGGGAACAAAAAGTTTGCACCACAAAATGCGTCGTTTGGCCCAGGGCTAATCTCATAGAAGTGTCTGAATCCTGGGTAGAGGTTGGCTTTGGTATGTATATGTGAACATCTCTCTGCGAGGGAGTCTCCCAAGACAGCCTCCTGTTCTCTTTACTTGTTATTTCACCTTTTGTTTTGATTATTTAGAAATCACAGAAGGTATTGGATCTATTATTATTTACAATATGAATTCTGAAGTGTCTGTCTTGATGCATCACAGTTTCAAAGACTTTGTCATGTGACTTCCTATAAAATTCACTTTTAAAATCAATGCTGATAGGATTTGCAATGATTTTTTAAGCTGGTGAAGAAATAAAACATATGACTTTTGTTCATTGAGCTATTAGAGTGAATTAACAGATGTCAGAGGAGCAATATTTAGTGAGAGAACAAACCAAATCCTTGATCCAAAAGAAGTTAAAAATATATTGCTTACCTGAGGCGGAAGTCTTTAAAGGTATCCAGATAGGTAGGGTAGCTCCATTTAACCTGATTGCCTTTGCATCGAAGGTCCAGTGTTTGCCCTGCTGTGAGACTCAGGGTAGCAGCAGGTTTCTGGAACCGACCTTTATCCGTCATGAGCACCATTATGGACTGTGTCTTTGGTGTTGAATCAGCTGAGTCCCTGTCCTTTATTTTAGGAATTTTAGGTTTCACCTTCTTGTTAGTAGGCTTGATTCTGTTTTCTCCTGGCTCCTTCGGATGCTTGTTCTTGGGAGGATGTTGGCCAGTAACTAGGGCAGAGAACAGGAGAGAGCACTGGGTTATTATAGTCACATTCTCCTATAATTTACCACCTAAAACTGGTAACGTTTTAAACACTTCTCCCTTCATTTGTCATTTGTCATTTGTACTGGTCTCACAGACCCTCATACAATCCCAGGATCAAGTGACTGCCATTGCCATTCCCACACCTAACTTCTGGAAAGGATACATATGGCTCTTCAGTCTAGCTGTGTAAATTATTTTCAGAGGCCTAAAACATAAGAATTTCTATTGTACTAAATGAAAGTGAATCTATGACTATTCCATTTTTAAGACTATCAAATAGATTTTATTGAGAAGCAGCTGGTAAAATTCACCGTAACATATTACTGACATCAGGCCCTGGCTGCTGCTGACTAGCTGTGTGACCATGGGAAATGGCCCTCTGCCTCAGTTTCCTCATCTGTAAGTAGAGAAGTACATGGTAATGATGACTATCTCCTGAACAGTTGGGAGGATGAAAGAACCTAATATGCTTAAAGTGCTGAGTAAAGCTTCCAACCATATGTCACGCTAGATCAGTTCTTCGTGTTCCGTGGTTCTCTCCTTCTTTCCTGGGGATCTGGGTGATCACCTCTTCAGGGAGGCAAAGCAGCTGTCATTTCAATTACCAGATGAAAAAACTGAGATCACAGATGCCCCCACACTCATCCTGAGTGACTAAGAAGGTAGTTAGAAACCAGACCCTTTGACTCCAGGCCTAGCGTTTTTTCTGGCTCATGTCATTGCCTTTTGATTCCCTTGGAGAGAAGGATATTGTAGCAGTTTTACTTTATTTGCACAAAATTTCACCCACAGTCCCACAGTCTGACTGGTGTCTTTGTTTGCTATGCCCCCGGCCTGCACTAGGAGTTCCAAGTTAAACAGAACTTGATGCCATGGATGAGAGGCAGCACTTTCCTGGAAGGGCTGGAGGTGCTTTTCCAAGGCATTCATTAGAATCCTGGGAGGAGCCGCTGGTCACACACTTATCTCCAGAACAGACAAATAAATGTTACAAAGCAAGCTGTGCAAAAGACCAACTTCTTCAGCATCACCTGAGCGCTGCAACAGTCCTTACAATAAAAGAGACCTGCTTCTGACCCTCTCTTGTTCTACAGGATTATTTTGAAGAAAATTGCTGACAGCTGTTTCGCAGCAGCACAGTGCAAACACAGTCCTTAACGTCTTAAGAACTGAAGCTGGCTGGTTATTCCCTCCCCAGTGGGCAGTTAAGGGGGAAAGGCTGTTGTGAGGATCACATCAACACAACTCCTCTAGAAGCTTGAATAGCTCAGGGGTCCCCAGTGTCAAGTCCCCTTCTCCTTTGTCCATTCTTCATAAAACACCCCACAAGCTAAAAAAGTTTCCAAACAAGCTGAAAAGTTAGAAAAGCAGTAACTAGGAAGATGCAGAGCTACAAAAGGGAGCCGTGACTTGCCCTGCTCCCATCTGGAAACTCACTCCAAAGCACCCCGTCACCATTTCTTGAAGCATCATGAAATGGTAATGTCAAAGGATTCCATATTCATATTCCAGGATGAAGACCTTCACTGGAAAGATTTCTAGGGACCGCGACCAGTATGCAGTGCTCACTTTCCCCTGCAAACACTGTTGGCTGGCTCCTGAGACACATCACCATCTTGGTTTTCCTCCCGTGCCAGTGAAATCCTCAGACTGTTTGGCTGCTCTTCATCTTTTTCTGTCTGATCTGAGTCCCAAGGACTTAATCCTGCCACTCCTCTCAGTCGCTAAGGGCAGTCCGCCTTTTCTCAAGCACCCCCTGGGTAAGGACAGCATTATCTGCCCAGGGTCGCCCTTCTCCCATTTTGATCTTGCCTTGGGCCATTGTTTGAGACCCAGCACTGCCCCAGGGAAGGCCAGTCAGCACCTCACATGTTTGTGTCCACACCGAAGTCCAGATGCCCTTTCACACTGTCGGCTTCCCTAGCGCTGCTTTGTCAGCCAAGGCCAACTCAGTTCAGTCAGCTGTTCAAGGAAAAGCCTCAGTCACATGTGATCCTTTTCTTTTTCACCCAAGCCTTGTGCGGCAGCAAACTCCTTGGCTAAAATGTCAAAATAGACTGAAGCTCAGTTTTCTCTACACCCTCTGGACACCCTGAGCCAAGCCACTTTCCATCTGGACTATTAAAAGAGCCTTCTTGTAGAGTCCTATGTTCATCCCAGCACGCCTACCTGCAAAACCCAGATTATGGGCTCTCCTCTCCCCTCCCATGATTCTCTTTCCATTTAGAACAAAGCCCTAAGTCTCCGCATGTCATACAAGGCTTTGACATTTTCTGTCCCACCTTGGTATTCAGCCCCCACTGGCCACTGAGACACACAACGCTGATCATCACTTCTTCAGACACCCAAAGGCGCCAGCTGGCCTCTGACCCTCCTTTCCAAATCACCTCAGCCTTCTACATGTTGATACCCACTATTAGTTTTTAATTGTTACCCCTCCCCCCCCAAAATGTACATATAAGCCCTAACCCTGGTTCTTGGAAATGGGTTCCTTGGAAATGTGATCAAATTAAAATGAGGTATTAGGGTGGGTTTGGATCCATTATGGCCACAGTGCTATTATCACATCCAAAATTCATCTGTCATTTCTTATGTGTTCAACTTTCTCCCATCAGCTCACAGGTTATTGATAGTGTGAATCACTTTTTAAAGATTTATTTATTCATACAGAACTGGGGTACAGACCACAGATGTGGAGGGTGAGAGCATTCACCAGAGACAGAGAGGGGAGCAGAACAGGCAGATCGACTAAGTACACTGCTGAGGGGAGCAGCGGGCGGGTTAGGAGAGGTCTGCTGCGCCATGTGGATCACCTCCGGGGCTGGGGATCGAACTCATGTGGAAGTGGCTTAAGCTTCTTAGTGCTGTGCTTTAACCCGCTGTGCCACCAGGGAGGGCCAAGTGTGAATCACTTTTGACTTAAACAGCAGCCCACTGGCTCAGGGAGATGTTTGTAATCACTGGGGCAAGGATGAGCCAGGAGGCAGAGGCCGAAGCCCCTCCTGAGTCTCTGGGGCAGGCATCTTGGATTAGTTCTACAGGCAAGTGAATGGGTTATCTGAAATTATTTTGTCTGGCCATTTCCTGCCCTATTCAAATACTCAGTAAATATGACATTTCCATCACATTGGCAGGTCACAAGCCAGGACCAGCCAGGAGCACTTTAGCAACACATCTTATAACATGAACTTGGACAGAGTAGCTATTGCTCCTGGAGAAGCAGCAAGTCCTGCATCTGATTCAGCAAACTCAGGCTGAGAGATCTTCATCCTCAGCTTCAAGTTCCACAACCATCTTGGGCTTTGTAAACCAGATTTTTTTTTTTTTTTGTAAATGCTTGTAATTCCACAGAAAAGAAAGGAACTGGTCAAGATGGAGTGATAGGTAAAATGTGAGCCAGGCTAGCTGGTTCCAGCGTGAGGTTGCATAACAGTAAAAACCAGAACTAAGCACAAGTTGTGGCTGAAGCTAAGGAATTTCAAGGAAGGGTTCAGGATCCTCGGGTGGGCTCAGATGTCAAATATGCTGCACAAGTAACACCAAGGGAATAAGGCAGCCAACCAAAACAAATGCTAACAGTAACAGACCCACATACACACCAGCCCCAACAGGGTGGGTCAGGACCCGCAAACATTCAAAAACGTGTAGTGGCCCACAGGCTCCTGCAAGCTACAATCACCCATTTTCATCTTTTTCTATCCATTTGGGTTAGTGTAACAGCAGAGGGTTTTGAGATTAGTAAGTGGAAATATCTAAGACTTAGACCTTGCAGGATTCAAGCCCAAGGTGGTATAGGAAACAAATGCAGGATTGCAAATGGGGTAAGTATTCGAATTTTGCAAAAGAATCCGCAGTTGCCTCGCTGAGGTGGCACCCGCCCTCAGTAGCCAAGATCCCGGGGCGAATCCAGCTCTGAGGTGGAGTGATCCACCCCGGGCGCCACCCCCTCCCCCGCCACCGACACGTTGACAGTGAGGGCTGGAACCCGCGCTGCCTGGGGGTGCTTGCTTTGCGTGGCGAGGGGAGTTTTTCTGGAGAGGGTAGGTGTCACGATCTCGGAGGCTCTCAGTCGAGATGGACAGTGGGAGGTTCTAGGGCCCTGCTAGGATGGGGCAGGTGGTGGTGCTGGGGGCGCGGGGTGTCAACAGTTAGAGTTGCTGCTGACTGAAGTGGAGAGGAGGCTGAGGGGCGACATGGGTTAGGGCTAAAGTCAGGGCACAAGCCGAAAAGCCCCACCCAGAGTCACTCACCTTCCTCTAGCGCTTCGTGCACCAGCAGAAGACCAAGAAGCAGCCAAACCTTCATCTTCCCAGCGAGGAGTGAGGGTGCAGGGACTGGGACAGCGGGCGGAGGCGCAAGCCCACAGCTCAGCGCCCGGGCAGGGTGCGGGGGAGGCGGCGGGAGCCGCTCCAGGTCGGGGCGGGCGCCTGGGAAGCCACAGCTGGAGGATTCGATTTCATGAGACCGAATACAGTTTGGGGGGAAAAGTTTTGTGTGTGTGCGCGCTTTAACCTTGCCGTACAACACGACCTTTCCTGCCCCCTGGCGGAGAAGTTTAGCGCTGCAACTTGTCAGGCGCGCACAGCAAAGAATAAGGGCGAAAGTCAATTACAAATCTCTCAAATTCCTCCAACGCTTGAAGTCTAAGCAAATTGATTAAGAAAGCCCGGCATAACCCTGCGGATACTAATGGGTTTGCATTTAACCAAATACCATCAGCGCTTTCTTCATCAGTTCAGGTAAAGCACTGATGCTCTGTCAAAAGTGCTCACTAAGCATCTCGGCTCGTTTCCAGAAGGTCTCTCATTTGCTAGATCATTCTAGCTGTTGTTCTGCTGCTTTTCTTTTACTTTTTGCATCCAGCCTTGCTGGACCCGTGAGTCTCCACTGTTCTGGGGGATCCCACGCGGAGAGGCTGTTCTACCAGAGGGAACCAAAAGCAAATCCTCACCCCGCTCAGTGGTCCCATCCTGTCTGTGAACCTGCGGACCCAACACTCCTTGCTATCACCCCTAGTCTCCCTGACCCTCTTGCCTATTCTTTCCAGGCAATTAGATGTCTTCAAATGGAACTGCAAATGACCTCACCCACTTAAGCCCTTCAAAGACTGTCCAAGAAGCCTCCTGGGCTCCTCCCAGCCTCTCCCTGTTCCTCTCTCCACAGACACGGCCATCGCCTGCACACTCATCCTCCATGCATGTCCACCGTTCCAGCTGCTCCCTCTGTCTCCAACAGTCACCTCCTGTTCTACCATTGGCTGGCCTGCGGCCCAGCCCCAACCTCTGCTGAAACTCATCTAGGAGATGTGGCCAGACCTCACGGCCCCTGAGCTGAGCTAAGCGATGTCGCCATGAGAACTTCTCTCCCAGCACTTACAACAAACTGCGGAACCTAACGGGATCTGCGTATGCATCCTTTTGCCACCCTCTGCTGCAAGTTGAAGGGCAGGAGGTGTGTGTCTTACTCCATGCCTTGTGTGCCACCAGTTTCTGGAATATAATTACTTATCAGGAACGCAATGTTCCAAGCAGTGTTAAACACTTAACACGACATCTCTGCTCTTCCATGGAGACCCCCCAAGCTGTCTGCTGTATCGTTGTCATCCCGTTTTTCCGAATGAGGATTCAGGAGGTCAAACTCAGCCTAAATCCTAATCCAGGCTTTAGCCAACCGGCAAAGCAGGGGTATAACCCTCACTCTGCTGCCTAAAACAAGCTGTTGGCATCACTAGCAGAGAAGAGTTCTGCAGAGAGGCCTGCCTGACCCACACACTGGAGAGGGACCAAATTCGACCTTCTTAAAGCCGGAAACTGAAGACAACTCGCACACTTACCTCCCCTGGCCCGGCACCCAGACTTCGGAGCCAAGAGCCATCCTGGAGAGAGGAAGCACATCTGTTCCACCTTTTTCAGCGTAGAAAGGAGTGGCTGCTTTAAAAACAATTAGGAGAAAATGTCCAAGTTTTCATGAGTTCTTAAAGCCAAATGCAGACTAGCAGGCCAGCGTCCAATCCTAGCGTGTCTCAGACTCCAGGGCAGCCAAAGACCCTCTTCGGCAACTCCTTTCCGCACGTCTGCAGGTTCTTCACAAGCAAGAGCAAAAATGGCCCCACACGTGGAGAGATTTGGGGTTAATGAAGAGTTGCATCTAGTTGCTCCACCTGTGTTTTATTTAAAGGCTCCCTTTAAGCATTAATTTTTAAAAATAGCACCAAAACTATCCTTTTCCAAATATCTTTATGCCCATGAGTTTTCTGCAGTATAGGTTCCTGGAAGTAAAATTATTTGGCCAAAGGCCATGACATGTAACATTTCTTACAAGCATGGCCAATTTACATTTCAACAACGATGTCCCTATTTAGAGCCAATTCTACTGTCTTCTGGAGCATGTGAACGAAACTGCTCATTTCTGTAGGCACCCACCATCCTGGGCTTATGAGTCCATCATGCCAACCTGGGGTAGGGGTGGAGGCTGTTTCCCCTGTGTTGCAATTCCCATTATTTTTACAACCATTGTGAATGAGTTTCTTATGTTTTATCAGGCATTTATATTTTCTTATATTTGCAAAGGTGTTCTACATATGGGTGTGCATATAGTCATATAGCTAAACATATTTATCTGGTCACACATTTGCTTGTCACATGATAGACATTTCCTTTTTTGTTTGTTTATTGGTTTTGTTATTGTGAACAAAATACTTCCTCATTACATGTTCAAACTAGTTAACTTATATGGAAAACAATTTTGGAATTATTATTAGAATTGTCATTCATTCCCAAAGCTATTTAGAACATTTTTGGAAGTGTTATGTAGTCATACACACTTTGTCTAAATATCGGCTGCTAAACTTATCTTGGGCCTGTTAGGGGTTGAATTGTGACCTTCTCCTAATATATTTTTAATGTACTTCAGTGACCATATTTGGAGACAGGATCTTAAAAGAGGCAATTAAATTAAAATGAGGTCATGAGAGTGGGTCTTACTCCAATATGACTGGTACTCTTCTAACAAAAGGAAATTTGGAAATAGACATGGTGAATGTGAAGATATGAAGACATAGGGAGAAAATGGCCAATGACAGGCCTTGGAAGAAAACAACCTTGAATTCTGAACTTTCAGAACTGTGAAAAAATGTATTTCTGTTGTCTAAGTCTCCCTGTCTGTGGTATTTCATTTTGACATTCCAGGGAACAAGTACAACCTGTGCGCATGGAGGCGAGGCAGGCTCACAGCAAGTGCGGGGTTTCTCAAGACCTGCAGCTGCTTAATCACAAGGGTATTGTCCTTGAAAGAAGCAAATTTGAAAAATAAAACTGCCAAAGCTTTATGTTTTATGTGTTATATTTTGCTCAAAAAAAAATTTGCTTGGTCTCTAGGGCAAAAAAGGTTTTTTTTATTATGGATTTTTGTACTGAACTTTTCCATTTTTTTTTTTTTGTCAATAACTGCCGCGAAATTGGTCAATTAAAATAAACATTATTTTGCAGCACTAAGCCAAATACAGCTTGGAGCCTGGCTTCCTGAGGCATGTTGGTCAGTGTATATCTGGTCAGCTTTATGGACCCTCTTATTTGTCCAAATAGTTTTCAACTGATCTCATAGGTTTCTAGATAAATGATCATATTACCTGCAACACACACTTCTTTGCTATCTGGCGCTTGTCTTTTTCTGCCACCTCATGCTTACATTCACCTTAACTGTCAACTCCATAGAGGACAGAATGGAGGACAGGAGGAGGACAGGGATGGAACAAATCAGGGAACCCAAGCCTCCCCTGAATCACCAGCTGCTCCTGATGTGGAGAGATGCTGAAAACACAGGAAAAGCTTTTAAAAAACTGACCGGGGGGTCACACATGGCAGGGCGCTGCTTTAACCGACCAACTGTGCATTATCGCCTTTCTCTGAAGGGTGAGGACAGGAGCCCCGGCACTGGCTGGATAAAGAAGCTGGAGAGGAAGGAGCAGAGTAGCAAAAAGAAGAAGCAAAAGCCATGAGATAGAAAAGTGTGATTCAGGGGTGGGGGACAGTCTGCAGCAACTGGTTTTCATTAACTAGAAATACAATCAAGATGAATTTAAAAAAAAATTGTTTCAGGTTCTTAGCAAAAGCTAATTTTAGAAGTTTTAAATATAACACTGCAAATCGTATTCTAATAGAAATACCAGACATTGTTTATTCTTTATGCTCCCAGGACACCTAATTATGAGATACCACGGGGTAAGGCAAGGATCCCAGAATCTTGGTCTACTTAATCTAGATGGGTAAAGAAATGAGGCTCCAGGACGCAGCATGCTGTAAGGCTGTCCAGAGCCATGAGGTGAGTATAGGAAACACAGCTCTGAGTGAATACAAGGCTTACAAGTGTAACTTCTCCTTCCTTTGTCTTTTCTCAATGCTGTTCCTCTCCCTCTTCAACTATTCCATGCCTCTTTGCTTACCTCCTCTAAATGCTCCTCACTCAACAGCATCAGCTATCAATTATCTGCACCTTAGTGAGTATTGCGGTTTTAAGACCATCAGCATATTAAGTCTGATTTCTAAGCTGTGTGCCTTTGGTGAAGAAGTATCAGGAGTCAGTGAGCAGGAAGATTCAGGACAACTGGAAACGCAGCCACTGGGGATCCCCAGAAAACCTGACTCATGACACACTGCACTTTGATGGGTTAATGGGCCCTGACCCCAGACGAAAGTGTCCCACCATGGAGACCTCGGCCCTCAGCTGTGTCATACACACGGGAATCAATCTGTCATGTCTTCCTCATGTTGACTGCTTAACCCTGTGGAGAGTAATTGGGGGTGGGAGGGCATGCTTTTGAAAAAAACTCGTTATTTTTGGAATGTGCCAGGAGTACTGGGGACACGTGAAGGCAATTGTGGAGCTTTAGAGGTTCCCAAATAAAAAGGCAGTTTAAATTAGGAAGTGTGAAATGTGTGCTTTTGGTATGTGTGATACATATGCATACTACATTATTACAAGTCATATTTAAAATTTATTTAAAAAATACATGGTCACATTAGAAAGCATATTTTACAGTGGTAAAGCAGCAATAGTTTTTATTTATTACAAATTCTAAAAAACAACCCAACTTTATAAGTAAAAAGAAACACTGATTATCATCAAAAACATTTAAATTTAAAATTACTGACCAACAAAATGTCTTTACATTTGCACAAATCCAAAGCATTTGTTGGTTTTGACAGAAATAAAATTTCTATAGGGTTTTGGGCCCTATCAACACTTTCTATTAAGTATAATGATAATACAATAAAGTAATAAAGTAACAAAACAACTTGGTGCCCCTGTGGATACCAGATATGAAGAGCTATCAGCCAGGCACCGGCATTTGCTGGCAGCACAAGCTGTCTACTAACTGAATCTGGGTGCTTGGATTTTCCACCCCAAGACTGTCAGGTGAGTGGGCCAGGCGGTGGGGTAGCAGTTCCAGGCAGCAGCTAGTCCTTTCATGACTCACAGAGGTGCTTTTAGGCTGTTTTTTAAAGCTGTTCCTGTGTTCATTTCCTTGACATACACATGGGGTAGTCAGAACTCAAATCAAGGATCACAACCGCCTTACTTTTGGATGAAGTCTTTCACTTTGCATCCTATCCCATTATCCTAACAGAGGCAGCTACAGGTGTTCACAATTTGCAAGCTGCCTGACCCTGGAGCCAACCTGGAGTCCTGATAATAATGCCCAGAGCCATCAGTGGTCAGAAACAGCTCTTTTAGGCCAGAGATCATGACAGTAGCTTCAGTCATGTGAATAAAAGCTTAGAATACTCCCAGCAAATAGGGTCACCAGTTGGGTTAAGTCATAACAAAATGCATTTGAAATCACTAAGGCTAAATTGTGTACATCAAAACAATAATGAATGTTACAAAAACCAACAACCACAACAAGAACAGATGAGGCCTCTCAAAACCTAGCAACCAAAGGCCATTTATAAATGTTTAAATACATTATACACAAGGTGGGGGGAGGGCTCAACTAAACAACAAAATCAGTTCTATTTTCTCATCTACATGACTAAAAAAATGGCCTGTGCTGGCATTAGTTACTATGTGAACTTTGGTTTTTTTTCCCTTAAGGTTTAGCACACATGTGGAAAATGTACAGAGAAGATACTATTTTGGCACTAACAAAAAGGACAGCTAATCCCCTCCTTCCAAAAAAATTCTCCCTAATCATGTGAATGTTAATATTCCATGATGTATATGCTAAACCCAGCCCCTTGAGGTCCTGTGGAAATTGCATTTGGGGAATTTACTACCAGAGGATTAAGCCCATAAGAAGGAGCCCGTCACAGCAGAAGGAGCTGGAATCCTGGCCCTGCATCATGTGGTCTGTAAGCCTGGAATATGTCCTGACTTAAGAGCAAAAAAGACTAACATGTCCCGACTGGCATGATCAGGTATTTTTTTTTGGAGGGGGGCATTACTTTTCCTTATCCTCCCTGCTAAACACTGAAATAAATTTTGAAAATAATTGGCAAATGTAGATTCTAATTCAAAATATCTTAACTACCTGAAACACTCAGGACCTAAAAAAATTTGGTTTAATAATTAAAATAAGAAAATTAAAATGCAATCTTTACTCAGAAAAATTAAAAGAAGAATGCTTACCTTTTAAAGGAAGATAATTCTGAAACAGGTATTTTCTATCGACAATGGTTGGAATAGTGAAACGTTACTAGCTCTTCTTTATTATATGTCCCAAATTAGGTTATTATTAGCTTTCTTAATGTTATCTTTGGGGAACATGTGATTAATTACTATTTCAGTTTATGTATCAAAATTTCTAAATTTTTCTCATAAGTAATTTGCAGAGTTACCTTGTTAAACATAGGTTAGATAGGCATTTATGTGGTTAAAAGAGTATAAAATAAAGGTTCTATTATGAGAAGTTTCTCAGTGAAAATGTTCATAGCATATTTCTTAATGTAAAAAGAAGAGTAATTTAAGCTGTTCTTATTCAACCACAATGAAGAGAATGTGTATGTGGATTTTTAATTTTCTGAAGGGACTTTATGTAAGTGTTAATGATTGCAAGTCAATTTACATTATCTATAAAACATGTTGGTACTCTTAAGAAATAATATTTTGTTTAAAAGTTATACATTAAAATGTAGGTACAGAGAGGTGGTTAGAGCTTGTAGATGGACTTTTACTAAAAAAAAAAAAAAAATACTTAAAGATGTCAAAAAGGTGCAACAATGAAACAAGTAAACAGAAATACCTAAAATCCCCTACCCCACACTCCATTTCAGATTATAAAGCACCTGTCAAATATACTACAGTTTAGTGATTTTGTATTAGAAACATTATAAATATATCTCTCTTAAAGAATCTACCTATAGAAAATATTATACATATAAAATTGCTATATATTTCAAAATAGTTTAAAACCTAAATTTTTTTGTATAAGCATACCTATCAATACAAAACATTAATTTTTCTCTGCATCTGTTGGGTTTTTTAATCCATTACAATGGTGTCATTTCTAAGCTCATCAAAAACCCAATGGCTTATAAACTGACATCTGATACACACACACACAGCTCTACAGATATATACACTCATGTACAGACTAGTACAAAGGTGAGTTTTCACAGGAAAATAAACAGCCAACTTAACAAAGCATCTTTATAAGGATATTTGTGTTTACAAAGTGTTTCAATGTGGAAAATAATTTTTAACTAAATTTTGCTCCTAATTGAACACAGTGGGCCTAACAGTTTTAGCTGCCTATCACATTCTAAACAAAGCTCTTGCTTTTGTTACAGTAAAAGATTCCAATACTCATAGTTGAAATTCTTCATGTTCCCTCTGTGAAGGGTCTATCTATTCTAGGTTGATTATAGAAGAACAGAGGTTCTCAGCCTACTGCTACAACAGCAAAGACTTATGATTCTGACCACAGTACTTTGCTTCCCCTCTCTGAGAAAAGACACAGCTTGAAAGGTAATTCTGAATTCAGGTTTCACCAGGTGCACCCTGGGAACTGGAATGTCAGTCTTGGGCTTGGCATCAGGGTTACTACCACATCGGCAGTGAGAAACCCTGGCTTCTACCTGTTTGATGCTTAATGACAATCAACTTTTCACTGGACCAAACAATAAAGTAACCAATCACTTGGAAGAGTTGTCAGAGAACAAGTGTTTCCTTTGCCTTTGGATTAACCTGGTCAACTAATGTGCTCGACAAGGCTCATCCTGGGAATGTAGCCCATGTATAAATGTTCAGACACTAACCTCATCTAGCAAACCATTTAATTATTTGTCAGAAACACAATTCATGAGAAGCAAAACACACTGCAGATAGCTGACTACTAGAGAACCCATAAACTAAAATGCTCTAATTAGAGACTCCTACCTGTAAAAATGTATGTAAAGGTTTCTTGTTTATATTACAATATGGTTCATATGTAACTTGAATTTTTAAATGGTCATTTAAAATTTTTATGCTAAATATTTTATTTCCCAACCATTGATGGGCTGTTATACAATATTAGAGTTTGTATGAATATCTTTAGTGTGATCATTTAAAAATAAATGAAATAAAAAGTGCTAAACACTTTATGAGATGTGGGAAAACATCCCTAAATTTATGGAATGGGCTTAAAAACCCTTAAATGTTTCCCCTAAAATCCTGAAAGGCGAATTGGATCTAAACCCCTCAAGTTGGGCCAAATGCCCTTTCATAGATGAATAGGCACTTTAAAATCAGAAAAGGGGAATTTTCTCATTTTGTATCCATTTATTCTCTTTTGCATATAGTAAAGACAACATCTGCTCCTCATAGCTAGGACAAGACAAAACAATAGTAGAAACAAAGGAGTGAATTCTGTGCCTGATGAAGTTAAAAAAAATGGAACTATGATTAGTTATTAAATTATGAGGGAAAGTATGGGTCATCCCACCAATTGCATAACAAGAGAGACTGCTGGTTTACGTAAGTGACTTGAGAGTAGGAAGCCAGTTGTCTGCTTATCCAGCATCTGCGGAACTCTGATGGTCAAACATACCCTCATCAGTGCCACTCCCATTTCCTTCCAGCTGTGGGCCCATCTTCACTTGCCAGCATAAAGGGTCCCAGGTAGATCACACCACTTCTGTCAAGCCTGGATGTGGCTGAGGGTGGACAGCATTCACAGCAGGCGAAGGCCTCATATTGAAGGACCGCTGCTCTCCAAGAAGACAGACCCTGCTGACGCAGAACACCACTTCCCCATCACGCTTTGTGGCATGCCTGCCACAAATACACTGATGGGTTCAAGTCTTGGCCAACTGTCACACCTCATAAAAATGCATCTGTGATACACCTGCTGCTGGCATTGATAGCACACAACAAAGGCTCGTTTCTCCTCTCCTCTTCCTCCTGACCAAGGTCTAATACCATGATGGGCACTGACATTGTAACTATGCTCTAAGTGGACACCAGAGAGGCCTAGCAAGGCAGTGCCCAGCTGCCTCAGGCACCTACAAAACACTTCTCCCTTCTGTGATAACCTCCAAGTCAGTTTGTGCAGTAGACGCCACCAATGAATGACACCAGCAGGAAAGTGTAATGCAATGAGAGTAAATGACACTCACATTCCTCAACACATACACTCAGACATACACATGCACACTCCCAGTCCCACAGTTTTGGAGCTGATCCTCACTGAGGAGAGAGCTCAGGAGGTTCCCAGGCACATAATTCACCATATGAGGTGGTGCTGTCCAGGTGAAGAAGTATAACTTAGGGTGAGCTCTGTCTGCAGCAGACCCACGACAACCAGCATGATGATGACTCCTTGTCACTCCATGAAGGATGGGCCTGTGAAGACTGGCCACGCCCTGAGCTTTAGCACTCACTTGTCTTTTCATGGAATATGAACGGTAAACTGAGGTTTCTTGGGTGATGGTCATCAGCTGGTATGGCAGATTTTTCCTCTGTTGCTGTATTGACATTGTCCGTGTAGGTATCTTCATCGTCTTCTTCATCCCTTGAATGACCCTCCAGGCTGTGTCTTATGCCGTAAGTAAAGTAAATCAGGAAACCTTTTGCAGAAAAAAGAAGTTAATGCTTTAGGGGACTCAGATGATAACCGCATATGGAAAATTGAATCTAGAACTTGATAGGGCTTCCCCCCACTTCTCTTTCTGCACGGTTTTAGAAGAATGCTATGCAAATACAGGCAACCCCACGAGGGTCTCCTTGAGACACACCTCCCCAGCAGAATGAGCTGCTTCATTTTTAACATTCAGCCTTTATGGGATGCATGTTTCTCTCAGTAAGTATTTTTCAGACAATGTTTATGTAGAAAAAAGTTACCTTCTTAAAACGCAACATTACACTTTAAACACTTTCGTTTGTCCTTTAAGCAAAAGGATATGTGGGCTGGAGTCTCCAACTGCATTCCAACTCCGAGGTGGCTTAGCCAAGTCAGGGTCAGATATTTTGGAAAGCTGCTCTGGGCTGGCAACGGGACGTGGGTGTGACTTCCACAAGCTGCTGTCACCAGGCGGGACTAAGCAACTGTGCACAGAGGATCTGTTTACTAACAGCCACGTCAATTGCTTGTGGATAGAAGGAAGGGTTTTATTTTATTTTGCTTGTGGAAGTTGACTTATGTATAAAGTGGATTGTTTAACATCACTGTGATTATTCTGACAATACTTAGAATCCGCCACACCCCTGTGCTCTCTCTCCTGCCTGTTCTTATCCCTCCCCCGCTCCCCAAGTCTTTCCTTCCTTTCCTAGATGCCTCAGATGGAGGGTTAGTTCATAAGAATGGTTTTATAGTATGTTTTTATTTGATCCTTTAGTTTCTCTATAGTCCACCCATGAGTGACAACACCCAGGACTTATCTTTCTCTAAAAGGAAATATTTTAATATTTTAGTTGTATTTCAGAAACTGCTTGCAAGCTTTGGGTTGATATGAAATGAACTATAATTTTCCCATTTAAATGAATGCAAAGTAGACTACAATGAACATTTGGCATGTACAATTTTGAAAAACAATTTTATTTCCTCTCATGTCCTCAGAAGTTTGAAGATCTACGCTTCCCATCCTCAGATAGGTAATTACCACTGCCATCTTAGAAAGAAATCAAGGTACAAAACAGGGCAGTAACTTGGTCTAGGCCATACGCTAATATATAATGGTGGGGGGCAGGTATTCAAACAGAGAGAGTCTGGCTCTGCTGGTCAGGCTTTTACTAAGAAGAAAAACATGAAACCACAGTGGCCTAATATTGACTGGAAAGAGCTAATCCACATGACTGGATTAGAGGAGTTCTATTGTTCTTGTGCCCCGAGGATTTGACTCAGCTCCCTGACAGCACCTGGAGAAGTGGCAGGACCCCAAAAGCAAGGCCGAGGGCACAGCAGAGAAGCAGGTGATTCTCATCAGGCCCCTGGCCATGAAGGGACAGAGCCACGAACAGGAAGCAGCCACAGTGACAGCTAGCGGGAGCAACTTAACATACCTGTCTAGGCTGGTAACCTCTGACCCAAGGCACACCCTCCCCCACCGCCATTCCTTTGGTGGAGTGTAAGACCCTTGAAATATTTCAGAGATTCTAGTGTGGATGGCGATCAAAACTGAGGTTAATTCTCCCATCAACCCAAGTGGCCTGGCAGCTTGGAACTGAAATTACCTTAACGTAGTCAAAGCAAACACTTACATACTTACACAAAAGTGAATTAGACTCACTATGCCAATGCAAAGACTATCAAAAAGCATAAATTCTTAAACTCTTCAGGCCAACAAAACCACTGCAAATTTAACTCACTTCTCACTGCTTCATCTTAGACATTTCATCTTACAGTTTTAAGACAATTATTTTAAAAATCAGTGTTTTAGTTTTATCAAATATAAACTTTTAATTTCTACCTCCATTGTCTCATAGGAAACTGAAGACATTACAATAAAAAGCAAGTTAACACACACACAAAAGCTTGCTTAATGCTGTTTAATATTAAGCTAAATTAAGAAATTTAGACATCAGAAGAGAAATTCCTTGCTATCAGCTCATTCAATATTGCCTCCAGAAAGTTAAGGTACATGGCTTTGGAATCGGGAAATCAGAAAGTGGTTTTGGGTTGCCATTTACAAGTGAGATTTCCTGACTCTTTCGGGTTTTTCATTTTTCTCACCCATGAAAAGTTGGAGAAAATAGAATCACAATACTTTAGTGACTAGTGGGGCCACCAAATAAGAAAACATACCTGAAGACATCTGGAAAATAAGTATTCAGATGCTCAAAGAACCGGGAATGAAAAAGCTGAAAAAAGACTTTACTTTCAAGAAGAGGAAGAGAATGCTTTCTGTAATCATGGTACACAAAATAGGAAAAAGGGACACACAGTTTAGAAAACCAGAACATGAAAAGACTTACCAAGTGCCATCCAAATGCTGAATCTGATCCAAGTGTCTGCACTCAACTGGACCATCAAATAAATGTTTACCAGGATGCTGAACGCTGGCAAAAATGGTAAGAATGGGACCTACGTGGGGTAAAATTTTCTTGAGTATACTTCTCTTATGAAAGCATATTCCACAAATTATCTCAAGTGGTGACAATGAATTTGACCTTTTCACACAGTAAATTTATATTCTTATAATGAGGACAAATAAAATTAATCCTTTAGAAGATACTAAAAAGAGCTTCAAAATTTATACTACTTATCCCGTCCGCTAACATCACACCATTCACAATACACAATTAACCCTTGGGCTTATCTTAGCTCAGGGCTTGCTGGGCTAGCTGAGAGGCGCCAGCAAGGGCCTGTTCTGGGACTCGGTACACATGGTCCTAGGCTGTCCTCCAGAAACCGTCTTCAAGCTGAACCCCGTTTTTTGTTTGAATGGGTCAGGATGATTTCATTTGCAGTAAAAGGACCCTTGGTAGAAACTATCACCTTGAAAGCATACTGCATTTCTACAAATAAAATATTCTAATTATCCTTAAGATACTATAAGCTATTTGACAAGAAATTGCTTTTGCACTGTGTGCAGGGCTAACTTGTTCACAAGTATTTTCTTCCTTTTTCTTTTAAAGAAACAACTCACACAAATAACATCCATGAGTAGATGTCCCTAATACTTAGGGTGACTCATCCTTATGACACATACCATAAAAGCGACTTTTTGCTGGTTCTGGGGTTGTCTCCAAATGATGAGAACAATCCCAATGCAGAGAACAAGAAACAGCACGAGAAGAGCAAGGCTCCAGGCTTCCAGTCTGGCAATGGCACGCACCCCGTAAGTGGTCAGAATACTCAGGCCCAGGATAAGAAATGCTGCAAAGGTGACATGCATGCAAAACAGAATGAGTACACATACTTCACCGAGAGTCCTCCGCCCCAACAGGCCTATTCGGCTAAGACATCAAAGTTACATATTGACTTTGCTAAATACAGTGATTATTCGTTTCCATCCTGGGAAGAAAGAACAGCTCTCACTGACCAAAGACACAGCAATTGCTCACTTTCCACAGCAGGCAGGGCCTGAGCCACCTCATTCCATTATTTCTATTCTGGAGAGTGACAATATCTACCCTGTCTCTGACTGTCAAACCTGCATTAGGCATCCTCGCTCTCAGAAAAACCTAGTCCCTTAACTTGTCATCAGTTATCCCCTTCTGAAAAGCCCACAGGCAGCAAAACCTTCTCACTTGTTCTAAGAGCCCAGCAGAGTTCTTGGCACAGAGATGTTGCTCAACAATTGTTGAAAATAGGAAAGATCACCAACTGTGGCAAGCAAACAAGGCCAGACCACGGCTGAGGGACTTGACTGAAGCTTCACGCAGGAGGCACCCTAACCTAATGAATGTACCAGCTCTGTGTTAGGCCAGCTCACCCCAGGGAACATCTTTCTTCCTTCTCCAAGGACTAAGATCTGATAAAGTTATCCTTCTAATATAAAGAGGATGCCACTGACTATTGACTGTTGAGTCATGGAATTTCAGGACTTGAGCTAGCTGTTAACATAGTCTAGGGGACAGGAGGCCTCTTTGGTGCATTTTCCATGCCCGACCTGCCCACCTACGCACATCTGCTGGCTCTTTCCAATGTAAGCAGTGACGAGGAAAACTTACCGAGGAATCCTACCAGAAAGCTCACGAGAGAAGCTGACTGTTTTGTGGGGAGTGCAGAGGGGTTGAAGAGGGTCCGCAGGCTGAAGCCCTGTCCTTGCAGCATGGTGACCTGGGACTCGCTCTTGGTGGCTGCATCGGCACATGATCCCAAAGCTTCTTTCTCAGAAGAAAACTTGGGCTGCTCATAAGATAAGCCAGGCTGGTACCTATGCCCAATTAAGTGTCTGTGTTATTCTCAAATAGCTATTTGGGGCATGAAACAAGCACCTGGTCTCTAAGTGGGGATCTTACAGAGCCACAGCTTTGCAGTAAAAATCAGCAAGTTTCCTGACTCCATCCCCAGAACAGGTCACGTCAGACCATAAGCTTGCTCAACAAAACATCTGCAAAAACTCTGAATATCCTGATAATCACTCAATGAGACAGTCATATGTGAGATATAGATGAGAGCTACATTTTAAAGCAAGGCACTGTAACTAGAGGATGATCATTCTGAAAGGGCTTGTGTCCACTGGAAATGTAATGCACAAGAAGACCATAGAAACCAGTTGAATTTCCGCTCCGGGTTAACACAGTCTCTTTGGTTGGCATTCAAGGCCTCATTACAAACTTCCCCCCTGACTGTTTCTCTTCCCACTCCTACCCGAGCTCCTAGTTTAACCCAGACTAGCTCAGGCCAGTCCTGTTACTCCACCCCCTGCCCCTGCAAGCCCATGCATGCCACTCCCATTCTGATTTTTCTTCTTCCTCTCCAGCCTGCCCAGTCTCCCCAGTAAGGTCTCTAAGCTACCATTATTTATATTTAAAAGTAATATTTTCCTCCATATAAAGAAAAATTATGCTCAAGAAAATATACACAAAGGCATACAAAAGAAAACCAAAACCAACCATAATACCCAGTATTAATCACTATTAGCATTTTGGAATAATTTCAGCTGGGCATAAAAGCATATGTGTATATATAAATGCAAAAATGGATTTTGTCTCAAATCTGTTGCTATTTATAAAAATTCAGATGCTACATTTAACTTTGTCTCCTGAAGCTGGCATATTTCTCCACTTAGTTAAAAATCACTTTTTTTTGCTGTCCAAGAGGTAACCAAATAAATGTACACTCAATTATTTTAGCCATTCTCCTATTTGATATTCAAGCTAGTTCAAGTCTAATACTGATTTAAGTGACTTTTCCCATGAACATCCTTTACCTATGTCTGTGTGTGCCTCACTGATTAAACTGTTAGCATAAAACCTCAGCAAATGAATTATTTGGATCAAAAATTGTAGTATTTTTATTTCTTGTCTAAGTACAGTATTTTGAAGTGTCTTTAGACGTTAGAACTTGCCCTTCACAGAGACGAGGCCAACCTACTGTTAATCATCAAGTATAGTGAGTCTTTGCTAAGGTTAAGTACGTTCTCCACTGTCTACACTGCTGACTTTTCATGGCCGCTCTCCTGCGTTGGTGAGACTGGGGCTCCTTGACAGCAAGGAAGGTGAGCCCTTCTCTGTCCCCACCTGACACACACCCTTCAGAAGCATCTGGCAACAAGGAGAACTCACCTGAGGATGAGCACACAGGCTGCAACCAGAGAGTAGGCCAGCAGCGTGCCAATGGACATCATGTCCACGAGAGCCTTCAGGTCAAAAAGGAAGGCCATCACAGCTGGAGGGAGAGACGGAAACGGTCAAAATCAGAGGCTGTGAGAACCTCCACGGCTGACAATGTCAAGCTGGGACGACTAGCTGGCAATTCTGTTTGTTTTATTGACTAGTACCAATGATAAGTCAAATAAAGTACAGGAAGTCTATTTCTCACATTTAATGATACGGCTAATAAGATATAATGTGGATGCTACAAATGGCTAATAAATCTTCAAAAACTACCTTGATTACATAAAATACTCGCCTGACAGAATGAATGAAAATCTTACATAAAAAAACTCTCCTTTGATATTTCCCAAGGAAGACATTGCTAAGAAGCATTGGGCTAGCTCCTTCTAAAAATTTTAAGTTTTGAATTTTAAAATTCAAATGGAAGAACTTTTGTTATAGATGTAATATATTCATTCTAATTTTCATCATCATTGTGATATATACATAAACTATTTTTTGATAGAGACTAAATTCTACTCTGATCTAAACTATAAACTCTTAGAAGATTGATTAAAGAGATAGACCTATCACCCTACAACAAATTCCAGAAAGGTTAACAAAATACACTTCCTATATTAGAATAGACAATATACACTTAGCAATTTCTCAATTCATTAAAACATCAAGAAATGATAAAATTACCTTGAATTTATGACAGCTGTCCCTATCATAGTAGTGCTGCAATTAAATTCTAAGCCTCAACAGAATTATCATTTTAGTTTGAATGTTTGCCACCAACATCCACTTATGTGATGTCCCAGATAGATCTCAGCAAGCCTTAGAGCTCTCTGAGCTTAATTTTTCTTTAATTTAATAATCTTAGTAAATTAAATTAAGGGGAGTTATTTAGTTTCAACTACATTATATGGCCAATATTTGGCTGTTGACCAAAACCCCAGCAATTTCAAGTGACTTGACTTAATAAGACTAACAGCCTTATAGTCACTGCCTGAATTACTTAGCAAGGTTGTAACTACTAGGCAGAAACAGGTTTCCACATAAACACACATCACCAGTGAAGGAAGGATACATTTTTTTAAACTTCTGAATAAGAGTAGATATTACCAGGCAAGACTTTTACTGGAAAATATAAGTTTTTATGTTATAAATAAGATATATTATCTTTAGTCAAGATTTATAAAATATCCTTAATATAATAATAAAAATAGACCATCCAGTGTAACGTTTAGGCAAATGCTATCTGGCTATAAAAAAAAAATCCCATTTCATACATAATAGCACATTAGCATTCTCTAACCGAATTTCCCAGTGATTCAGGTCCTCAATGAAATTATAATTTTGGTTTGAATTTCTGATACCAACATTATTTATTATTTTATCTTTAAAGCTTCCTAGAGTCTTGTTTTCTATAACAGGACCTTATTTGCGATAATTCTATCTGTAGAATCTCTTTGAAGTTTGCTGCATGGAATAAGCATCTGTCCAAGCACATTTTACATGGAAATCATGGAATGCCAAAGGCAGGACCTGGAGGTTTTGTGCATGACTGCAGTACCAAAACAGTTGCAAGGAAAACACATGTTACAAACGGGGTTTCTGAAGACTTGGTGTTAGCAGCTCTTGGAAACCATCATGGCCCAGCATGTGGGGAAATCCACCCTCCTGCAGCCAGTGATCATAATGGCCAAACATAAACTACTTTTGACATGTCTTATGCATTTTTGAGCATCGGCAAACTTTAGCTTTTCAAAAGTCCTATAGTTTTAGCACTATCCAACTTAAATCCTAGACAAAAAAGAAAATGGTAAATCACTTTTAATTAATTAAAAAATTAATTACTCCTTAGTTAACATTTTAAGCTTCAATAATACAATTTTGTGAGCTAGTTCATCCATCTGAAAAAGCATTAAATATCTAATATTTATGAAGGACAATTACGACCATGTGCACCTTTGTTAGAAACCCAAGAGGTTAAAAATAATAAAAAAATATCCCAAACGGTCAATTAAGAATGAATTTTAGTAGACCACCACCAAAATTTTCAGATGTAACCCCAATGCTCATACCGTAATTTATCAGTGATTTTGTTCTTAACTTACATGCACAGCAAGCAGACCCTCTTTGTAAGTCAATGCATGCGCATAAAAATGTGCAATTCCAATGTTGAAAAAAACCTGTGTGTATAAAGCTTACCAGAAATGAACCCTGCAGTCAACGTGGCAACAACTGGTGACTGCCTCTTACTCACTCTGGCAAGAAAGCTAAACAGTAAGCCATCCCGGGCCATGGCAAACAGAATTCGGGGTAAAGGAAACATAGAGCCCAGAAGACTAGAACAGAAAAATTCATAATTCACAAGTGAGTTATTACAAGTATTGTCTAGCAGGTATATACAGGTAAAGACCAGTCACACCATGTGCAGAAACTATGCCAAGAAAGTTCAAAATAGGAAACTTTCACAAAAAAGTGACTGACCTTCATGTAAATCAAATCAGAAAGCAGCCCAACTTGTCCTTCTTTCCCCAGAATTCTAGATGAAACACCATCCCCCTTTGCTTAATAGAAGTCAGTTCTCTCTCACCTGCCACTGCACCCGATGATATAGTAGCAATTATTGGTGTCTTCGTTTTGGAATTGATTTGAGCTAGACATTTGAAAAGTAACCCATCCTCCGCCATAGCATAGATTACACGAGGCATTGGGAAAATGGATCCAAGAAGACTGAATAAAAAGCAAACACATGCAGTATAGCAAACACATTCATGCAAGATTATCCAGAATTGAAATGATTGATAAAACTGAATTAGATATGATTATGAAGTTGTATTTTTTTTCAATTTAAATTGAGTATTAAAATATTGACCAGTTATCATTGTGCTAGTTATTATCTTGTTGCAGTAATCTACCCAGCAAGATTATCAGGCTAAAAGCAATATTACAAGTGTTTATGCATGCCCGCAATTAATCATTAATTAAAAGTAATTAAGACATTACCAAAAATTCCAAATCAAATATCACATTAAGATATTTTAGTGGCAGTAACTCAGAAAATAAAACCCCTAACCTGACATAGACACTAAGAGATTAACTATAATATCATTTCATAGTACAGTCAATTTATTCAAAATTATATATTTTTATATTTAATGTATCATTGTTCTTTTCTCACAGTCTGATCTTTTATTAAGTTAATAATTTCCAGTATATGATAATCAAGGTAGAGAACGGGAAAAAAATTAACCAACTCATGATAAATCTAGTAGATAGAAACAGTCATAACTAAAAGTTAGTAACAGGAAAGTTTGACAAAACAATTTTTAATTTAGGCCTTTTGAATTACTTGTGTAGTTACTGGCTGCACCGTTCCACTCATGACTTAGTTGTGAACTACAACAATGTAAGATAAAATAAGTAAAATACTTAAAACTTCTTTATTTTTTAATGACGCTGGGTTGAGCTTTGTCTTAGATGAATCTTTATCCAGCTCTTCTAAGGTCACAGTAGCACAGCATCTTCACAATTCAAATTTTAAAAACTATTTTAGAATAAACCTTAACATCAGCATGTGGCTGAAGATAGAGTGGGAATGATTTCTAATTGCTCTGTAATATTGTCTTGAGGAGAAAAGTAAGAGGGATTTGTTGGGGGGGGGTGGAGTCAAGTTAAAATTCTTTTCCCAATTTCAATATTAGAAGAATTATTTTCACTTAAATAATCAGTGATCAGGCAATATCTCCTAGTAAGAATGCTGTATACTCAATTGCTCAATTGTACAGTATAAAACTAGAAAGAATATTTTATGAATGAAAACTGTTAATTTGGAATATGAATAACTCAGAATCCTGAGAAATGAATTCCAATGTATTAAGATATTATGAAAATACCTGAGATTCAATTACCCTTCTTTTTTCACATAGATGGTTTGTTTACCTGCCATTAATTCTAGCATGGTAATTTCTATTTTTAGATTAAGTTCACTCTCTCCTGTGATTAGAGGGAAAAGTCCCAGTAATTCGCAGTAGGAAGCAAATTATGAAACAAACATTTAACAATGCCACAGCATACAGCTTCCACTCACACAGACTTGATAAATTGTGAAATTTGCACAAAAGGTCACGGATTGTTCACAGCACCACAAATCACAGCATAACCAGCAGGGAAACACTGGTGCAAGCATCCTGAAGTTGCTTAACATGTGATACCAACACTGCATGACATTCTATGGAAGCATAGACCATCATTATCTCGACAAACTGATGCTTAAGTGATGGAGGGAAAGATTTTATCACTTAAGATTTTTATATAGCAATTCTGGGCAAACTTCCAGAAACTATGTACCCACTAATATCTTCCTTAATTAGTATTATTCTGAAAACAGCTCTATATACACTGACTGCACTTGGCAGGGACCCCACCGCCCCTACCCCAGGGGCAGTGATCGTACCTCGTGGACAAAGCGCAGAGGGAGCCGGCTGCCACCACATACTTGGCCGGGCCCCAACCAACATTTTCAAATGCTACTGGAAGGGGGCTCTTTTCATCCAGGAGGTAATAGGGCATCATAAGTGTTAGAGCAGCAGAGACCCCAAAGTAGGCCATAAAGCAAACAAGTAAAGAGGTCACAATTCCAATAGGAATAGCTTTCTGAGGATTCCGAACTTCTTCACCTAAGGACAAACAAAAGGTTTGCATGTTAATAAAACCGTAATAGGCAAAACACTAATTTTTCTTCTCTTCCATGGTGATTCTACTCTGCTTTTGTCTCTTCTGTTTTCATAAAGTGACCTCTCTATTCTATAAGAATTTTTCTTTCTTCATAAGGGTACTTTAGTTTTATCTAAAAATCCAATCCCAGATACAAAAATAAATGCTACGCCAGCAGTAGCCTTTATAGTTGGCGACAACCAACTCATATTTACATTAAACTCTAGTTTCAATAAAAAAAAGGTACACTTTCAGTCCTTCCAATAGAGCTAGCATTTGAAGCACTCAAAACAGTCAGTTATAAAGTCATAATATAATATGAACAGAAGGATGTAGAAAATGACATAGGTTTGCTGACAGTATAAAGAAAAATTCTGTCCTGTGAAAGAGACTACATTTAAGTGTGGGTCATCATTTGTTACTCTATGTGACGGCACTTCCAGGCAGTGGAATGCTAATGCTATGACACTGCTAATTATGACTAATATTTATAAAATATTTGACAACCTGAAAATATTTTTAATATCACTACATCATACAGAGATACATATGTCTAAGAAATACATTTATGTATAGATATGTAGATATCTATGTTATATCTATACAAATTCACATATAGCCTTCATAACATCTGAGGGGTGGGTACTATTCTCTAATTTTACCAATATGGAAATTAAGGCTCTGAGAGTCTCACCAAGTTCCTTTTGTATCATACAAAGCAAGTGTTGCAATTGGGATCTGGAACAAGTCTTTATTATTCCAAATCCCATCCTCCTTTTCTTGATCTGCTGCTACCCGTGGATGCTCATTGGTACAGGGGTATCTTTTCCTTCCACACTGAGCCAAGACTACTCTTACCAGTTGTTGCAATGCAGTCAAATCCCACAAAGGCATAAAAACAGGTTGCAGCCCCGGCCAACGTTCCCGCCAGACCATAAGGCATAAAGCCACCAGCTCCGTAGAGGCTAGTTCCGTTTTCAGAAGGTTGGTCACTAGGAAGAGAACAAGCATGTGGTAAAATCATTTTCATAAACACTTCTTATGGTGATTTATCTCAAACTATGTCCTCAGAAGACTTAAATTCATCAGCTCTTTGAAGCTGACTTATGCAAAACTAAAAGTAAACCCAGCTCTCTCACCTTGTCCCTAATGGTGGTGATGTCCCCAACAATGGCAGCTTCCTGGGGCAGCAACACTCACTTGGAGGCTGATCAAAAGCATACAGGGGAGGCTCAGGCCCACCCTGACTGGACTCACAGTCAGGATTCTGACAGTGGAGACTCCAGTTATGGGCCACAATAACTGGACCCAAACATGAGATTCTCCTCTTCTCATGCAGAGCTGGGAAGACTACACATTCTAAATATTTACTATGATTTGAAAAAGTGAAATAAATTCTCGAGGGCTCATTAATGACACTGAAGTTTAATATCTCACTACATGTTTAAAAATGGATGAAACCAGAGAATATGAAATTTTTTTGCCTCACCAGAATGATTACAAATAATATATTTGTAAAGGGAATCATACAGATGTACTCACTCCATACGCCAGCTATTTTTGTAATCTTATTTATACACACATAGGGACATGATGCTTAGAGAAATCTTAGGATAAAATCTTTTGTGTATAATTATTATTAGTTTAAAGTTTGAGACAATCAGCTTTAAAGTGAAATGTATGGACAGTTCTATCAAAGAAACTAATGACATTCTCTATCGAGCAAGAACTGAAGATTACAAAATCTGAAGAATACAATGGAACCAAATGATGGTTCCAAAAGAAGAACTAAAGGATGCAGATTCAAAAATACCCACTACTATTTAAGATGGCAAAAGTTTTGGGGGGAAAAGAACATTGCCGGTGGTTATGACCTTCCTTTCAATTTCCCTAAGCCTCGAGCAGAGCTTGAGTTGGGAGCAGCCGTGGCATCTGGTTCCAGGGCTGCCCACGGGTGAGGCTCTGAGTATTGACGCTTGGGGAATCTGCAAAGAAGAGTCTTGGGGGCCTCTCTAGTGGTGCAGTGGGTTAGAATGCAGCACTGCAAGCTAACCACAGCCCCTTCGGTGTGAGTTTAATCCCTGGCCCCGGAGATGACCCCCATGGTGTGGTAGATCTCTCCTGTCTTATCCACTGCTCCCCTCAGCAGCGTACTTTGTCCATCTGCCTGTTCTGCTCCCCACTCTGTCTCTGTTGAGTCCTCTCACCGTCCCTGCATCTCTGGCTTGTACCCCAGTTCTGTATGCATAAATAAATCTTAAAAGAAGAAGAGTCTTGGAACAGAAGAGCCCACTCAGAAAGGTTCAAGAAGCCAAACATTTGAGAAACACGGTTGTAGAAGAAAATGTAACACAAGGCAAGTAACAAGCAACGTCAAAATAAAAGCAGGAAAAAATCCAATTATTTTACCTAAGAACTGCAGAAATATTTTTGAGATACTCTTCACTTATCTTCCAGTTTGCCACATTTCCTTTCACAAATCCAGCAACCATAACAAAGAGAAGGACCAGGATATTAATAGCTGTAAAGATTTTATTCACCCAAGCAGACTCTTTTACTCCAAAAGATAAGAGACCTAGAGAAAAAGAAAAGGCACTTTATTTTTTACCTAAAACTTTAGGAAAAACAATGGCATTGACACAGTTTTAGGCTTCAGGATATTGTTTCACTAGCATTCAAGTATTTAATTTTCAATTTATCCCTTTCAATTGTGAGTTCTAACTCTGGCCAAAATCTGAAACATTTTCTGAACACAGTCAACTCAGAAGGCAGACTGAACTCACAACCCGATGCCAGTTCCAAGCAATAAATACATTTAGTAACTCTGGCAATGATAACCAATAGATAGAGGTAAAGAAACTTAATTTTAATGAAACACTGTTCCAACAAGCCATTTCAAGATTAATGGCTACAAAATTTGAAAGTAGAAGCTCACCCATATGTCTGCTTCATATTTACTGAATATGCACACAAAATTAATTCTTCTGTCAGGCACAAAGGTATTTTGTTAAATTGATTCTCATTTTAATAGCTTACTTTTACATTCTGATTATAAAATTACTCAATTTCCTATGTAGGTAATTTAAACATATATATGAGTATGAAGGAAGTTGAGGGTCAGCTGTGACCTCCCTTCCAGAATTGTGCACACACACACACACACATTTCTATATCAACAATCAGATAAATTCATTCTCAGCAGCCAAACACGCTTCTACTATATGGAGATACTTTATTTTAATACCTTATTTATAGACAATCAGGCCATTCTTAGTTTCTGACAACTAAAAGCAGCACTGACATAATCATCCTTTTATAAATATCTATGTACATCCTCTAATTATTTCATTACAATACTTTTCCATAAGGTAATAATGTATATCAAGGATATGCACTTTTAAACAAGACTTTTGTTACAGATTGTTAAAGTACTCACCCTTTTTTTCCTATAGGTTATTCTTATTCACATTAATTTAAATAGATAGTAATAAGTTCCCTGCCTTTTATGCATAGTACATTTTTTTCCAGTTTTCCATTTACTTTCAATCTTAGTGTTGATTTTATATATAAAGGTTTATTATATTAATTTTTCCTTTTTAGTTTCTAGCTTTAGAAACATTTTCCCATTATTATAACCAAAACACTCACTGTAATAGCCTTCTAGTACTTTCACTATTACATTTGCCATGTTTCTACTTTTAATCTATATGATATAAGGTATGAATTATAGACCAAAAACAGCTTAGTTTTAACTACTAGAGAAATTATTGGGAGAAAGCATTATGCCACATGTTTTCTTGTTTCATCCCCATGTCCAAACCATTCATGATCAAATGAGCAAAATTTTCCCAAACAGAGGTGAGAGAAGTTAAATTTTATTCTTCTACCTGTATAATTTCCCACAATTATCTTATGCAGTAAAGCAATTCACTTAATGATATAAAGGAAACTTTTTGTTTCCCCAATCTCTTATTTGTTAAAAATAAACCCACTGCTATTGTTCCCTGAGCCTGAGTGGTCTTGTAAGCGTCATCACATGAGTGGGAATCCAGTGACCTGTCCTCCCTCTTGGCACTGCTAAGTTCTGTCTTTGGCACTCTTTCAGCACTGTCTTAGTTTGATATGCTTCCTTTTCAACTAGGTACCTATATTATATAAAGGCATAACAAGAAAGACAAAATCTCTTCGAGAAATAGTATGCCTGCAAATATCCTTACTAATAGTTAACAATAAAGCCCAAATTATATATTTTCCTTATGAAACTTGTCATTCCTGCAAACTTCTAATTAGTATTATAAAATAATATGCCTCATCCTGAGTAAAGATATCTTTTACTCAGAAGTGCTACTTCCACCATTCTATGCAATTTGATTCCTTTTGGAATATACCCTTACATTTGATAAGGAGGGATTCTACAGTGGCAGATCCACAGCACTCCCACAGTAATTTAGATGCATAAATGTGTGTCAAGTCTTGGGAACTTAAGCCCCATATTTCCCCAGCACGTTTAGTCTGGCTCAAGATAGAGGGAAGAAGAGCTGATTTTCTTACCTGCTAGAAGCAAAATAAGGCACACAGCGAAAAAGTCAGGATACTCTGCAAGACCAGTGTAATTCATTTTGAAGTATGTCCCAAAAAACTGGCCAATCTGTTTGTTGAGAAGTTCATCAAAGGTACCACTCCACGCTCTGGCAACACTGGAGGTACCTTCCGGAAACGAAGATCAATCAGACAATACAAGGTCACTGGCAGAAAATTCACATCATAGCACTTGCTATTCTATTCTAAAATAAACATGGGTTAATTTAGAGAACTGATAATTTTATAATTGCATAATAACAAGTGCTCAAGTCCCTAACTGTGGAATTAAGTAACTCTAGTTGCAGTATCAAAGTACAAATTTAAAAAGCAGGTTTTCAAAGGCAGTAGGAGGTGTAATCTGAGATGAAGCAGAATCCTCCTGACTCAGAAGTGCTAGATCTAATATTCTATTTGGCTTGGACTGATTTTCAAAACATACCTATCACATAAGACAAAATGAGGTTCCAGCCAGTGATGAAGGCCCACAGCTCTCCAACAGTAACATAAGTGTACAAGTATGCAGATCCAGTCTTGGGCACTCGGGCCCCAAATTCAGCATAACAAAGCCCTGCCATCACCGAAGCGAGAGCTGCAATGAGGAAGGAAACCACGATACTGGGCCCAGAGTCCGCTTTGGCCACTTCCCCCGCAAGCACGTACACCCCAGCTCCGAGAGTGCTTCCGACGCCCAAGGCGATGAGGTCCATGGTGGACAGACAACGGCATAACTTGGTGTCTTCTAGACTGTCCAGAGTGACGATTTTTCTCCGGATCAGACATCGGGCAAAAGACAGAGCTGCTCTGCAGGGGATCATCTTGAAGAGGGCAACCTTCGGAAGAGAAGGGAGGAGGTAAGAAGCTTGTGTGGAGCCATCAGCCCTCAAGATCAGCCCAGCTTCTCCACAATTAGGGCACCTGAAGTTTCACCTGTTACTAGCTAGAGGTGTGGCCCAGAGCGATGAGATGAAGAGTTTAGGCCAAAGCTGTGAATTTTTTCCTGGTATTGCAGCCACAGTGTGAAATTAAAAGAGAAGCAATAGAAAATGAGTGGGCACTAACAAGCCAACCAATAAAAACCTTCTTTGAAAATAGCAAAAACTTTGTTGTGAATCGTACCCCAAAATGAATAGAGTCAGCTCTCTTTTCTCTCTATAAAAGTCAACATAATTCACTGTAGGTTATTTAGGAAGCAGAATAGTTTACAGAAATATATGGCTTTAGTCAGATTTGATCTGATTGCTACTGTTTCCTACTAAAAATGGAAATAATTTTATGTTCAGTTTTTCTTTGCTGCTCTAAGGAAAGAAGACAAAACTGCCATTTGTCAGCAGTCATTTACCTTTAACAGAAAAGCAGACGTCAGAAACTGTTCTCAGAACTGACAGGTTGCGCAATGCCCTCTGCAAATAGTCTCAACAACGCACACCTGATAAAACACTGATTGCAAAAGCTAGGATATAAAACCAATTTTTTGGAAACAGAATGGCACCAGAGGGAAGTAAAATCATTCTGGGTCAATTTAAAGAATGATTATTAAACAAACTTTAAGCCCCAGCAGGCATATCATTCTGTGTTTAGTTAATAAAGAGAAAAGAATCTCATGCCTTTGTGAAATGTGTTTTTGTGGAGACAAACTGACATGAAAATAGAGAGGCAACAGGAGAAACAAGTCGGATATTTGTGTCTAATATAAGTGATATAATTTAATGCTTATTAATTATTAAAGATTTATAACTTTTCCTTTAAAAATGCTTTTTAAAGATATACTCCTTAAGAAAAATGGTCACGATATTCTCATTTCCACAAGGCTGTTTGATTGTTTAAGAACAATCCAATTACCTTATTCTTTAACTCAGGTCTGCATCTACTAGACCTGAGCTCTGGTGTGATGTCTCCCCAACTAATTATCTATGATCAGAATAAAATGCAGGGGGGGGGATTCTCATTCCATTGGCCTGGACAGCAGGCTTCATTTCCCCATGAACAGGTGATAGTTCCAGACCAGAATACCACTGTCAGTGTTGCCTCTGTGCCCAGGGATTGAGGTTTAATACAAAACCTACATATGTGTAGCAACAGATAATGGTCCAGACTCTGGAAAGCGCCCAGGTGATGCTCACACCCAAGCCGTAGCTTTAGAATAACATAAAGGCACAAATCGCTATTACGTGGAGGTCACCAATGACTGCTGATACCAGCAACAGATCTGTATCTTTTCTCACTAAACAAGTGTTTTATTTGTTGCTAAGACAGTGGCTTCTATTGAAGAGGAATACTAGACAGAGATTAGTTTAGATCTGAAAATGTAGTCGGCCATGGGAGGCCTGAGAGGGCTGTTCTATGCATTGTTGCAGCAAAGTCTGAATGACCCAGCAAGCTGCTGCTAACAGTTATATAAGTCACCTTATTGGGGCTCTATTATTTCTAAGATGTGAAATCCCTTCCTTAGCAAAATGAGCCTCCTTCTCAAACTTCCTCAATTCTGGCTATATGCTTGACAGTATAGAATTTTAGGTCAAGTGAATCCCTAGCCCTGATGATATGATAGTTTTGTACAGCAGACTTCCTTTCAGCTTACTGCAGAAATCTTTCTAAATCTGCTCATTGTAGTTGAAAGTCCGTCCTGATTTCACCAAAGTGAAATGTATCATTTAGCCACACAGAAATGGATCCTCCCCTAAGTAAAGGTTGAAATTGTAAACTTAATAGTGTATCAGTATCAAGGGCTCTGAAAATAAATCTTATCAGAAAAAGCATCTGTGGCAAGCTGGTGGGTGAAATTTTCAACAAACCTCCAATAAATTAGCCTTTTTGAATTACACCCAACTTTTCCTTCCTCAACTAAGTTGCTAGTTTCATTGTGAGACATCACAAAATTTCTGTTTTTGGACAGACGGAGCTGATAAAGGAGCTGAGCCTTGCACACCTGGGCATGTACCCAGTGTTTATTTTTTCTTGAACTAGACCTTTTTTTTGGTTTGTAGTCTTGAAATTCACCATCAGTAACATTTTAGAACTTCAAAATATATCACAGGTTAAATACGTCAGTATAAATATATCAACATAAAGCCATGGAATTTCATGACTTAATTTTGAAAAATTTCTTCCTAAAAAATACATCAAAAGTATAATGTGGGATAATAAGAAATTAGAAATGGTAACTATTTAGGCCAAATGAAACAAAAATAACATCTACATACAAACCTAAAATCTTATTTTTTCTGGAAAACAAAAAAATATTTTTTATATACATTTCATTAATATTTGGTCTAAAGCTTACCTTTCTTCCAGATCACTATTTCTGAACAGGGCCTTCCTTCAAACTTTTCTCTGGATGGGTAAATGCAACTGTAGAAATAAGTAAAAATTAAAGACACAATTGAGGCTATTACAATGCCACAGTTACTGTAACAATAATGTTACTTTCTCTCCCTCTTACATCAGATCAGTACTATCAGAGCATTAGACTATCAATGTAATAGTTCCAAACTTCTGATACAGAATCCAGGCAGAGACAAGCAACCTTCCTAAGGAATTCCAACAAATAGCTAACAGAATTTTGCAAAGTTTCCAAGGCCATGGTGCTTCAAAACACGTGAATCCATTTAGTTTATTAGGAGTTGTAAAAGCCAAAACACAAGAATAAGACATACCTAGCTATCTCAAACATATACAGAATGAAAAATAAGAATGAGGTGTCCTGTTTTTAGAGCTGGGAAAGATAGGAAGCAAAAAAAGAAAAGCAGAGTCCCGGGCACCACAGCAAACAAGAGTTTCTGCCCAGTCAGCAAGCTACTTTCACAGTCAAAGATCTTGGTGGCACCAGAGACACCCATTCCCATTAGGTATTTAGCAATCGTTGGCTAATAAATCACTGAATGCCAGAAGTTACCACCTGTTCCCTCTCCTGAAACAGCAACGGAAGGAAACGTGCTCTACCAGCACTAGTCACCCTCTACGTACCACTTCAAACTTCAGGAGATTCCCTTTCCGAAGTTACTTCACACCACCACACCTCTACACGTTACCAATAAAAGTGCTTCCCTACCCTGTTCCCTTGAAGGTGTTCTTTCATAAATCTTCACAAAATCCCCTACAAACAGGACAACTGTGAATCTCACAGTATCGGTGAAGAGACTGAATCACAGAAAGGCTAGCCAGAATCACAGTGAACATCTGGAACCAGGGATGAACCTGGCAGGTGCGACTCAAGAGCAATTTACTCATGGCTCCAGGCTGTACTGCCACCTGGCCAGAGAGTCCAGTTATTTTCCACCTGCTACAGCACCCTTGGAGAGAATCTGCTTTGCCCACAGTGAGGTCTCCCATGCCCAAGTCATGGGTAACTGGACCAAGACAGGCCCAAACTTAGGGTTAAATATGCAAAGGTTGGTAGGTTCATTTGGTTTTCTTGAACATCTGAATAACATGATTGAATTGGTCAGAGGATTGAGTGCGCAGGCTGAAGCTGCCAGACTCAGGCCAGCTGGACACCAGGGCAACCGACAGGCCAGCACCCAACAGCAGTCATCAGGAGAGCAAAGCTGAGACTCCAGCCTGCAGCAGCAAGAGGCGGAGGATTAGCATATTTTTCTTCCCCTAGGCCCTGCGGTCGTTCCTGACTCCGCAGAGAGTGCAACATTCCCCTTCCAAGTTTCAACAGGTCTCCTGCTCATTGAAACTACGTTGATTGCTCTCTATTTCTTAAAACCAGAGGCACTGATAAAGGTCAAGAGAGCACCAGGGGCCTGTCCTGCCCAGCTCTACTCCCAGCCTCAGCGATTTATATCGACTACTTCCTGCCATTACCAGTAGGTTTCCTGATAACTGCTCTTCTTGCCAAGATGTGTGATGGAATAACTTGAATTTGTCTAGATATTTTTCCTGTAAGTAGTCAGTCTTTAGCCTGCAGTAGTCATGCCCTTTATATACATTTGCATATAATATAATGTACCCTCTATGGGAAAAGTGCAAAATAGCAAAAATCTTTTCTCCCTAGACACACTTGCGACCCATCAGGGTTCCTGGTAACACTATTTCTCCCCAGTGACTGAGGAGCACCCTACATTGAATGAAAGTCCAGGATTAGCCAGGTAGAGCTCAACAGTACATTCTACAGATGTTTAAAACTCTTTCTTCATCATGGGATTCAAGCAGAATTACTCACCTAAAGAAAAAGCACTGGGAATATTTTATCACACCAAAGGAGGATTTTAAAGATTCCTGAGTCAAAGAAGTTTCCTGAAACCTTTGTCTTAAGATGTTAATATTACTGGATTATTGCAATTTAAAAACACACATTTCTTAAATTCCACATTTATTAGTTCCACAAACACATTAGAACACCAGGCTGGTTGTTAGCCCATACAATAAGCTAAAGCAAATGCTTGGCCACAGGGAGGAAGGGGCATCCACAGAAGGAGCTTCTAACTCAGACTGCGGTGTTGGGATAAAGCTGTGCCCATCCAGCCGTAAAGGGTGAGCTGGGTCAGACCATCTCAATGTATAAGGGGAAGCTGGGAGGGGAGCAGCGGGAATGGCAAGTGCAAAGAACTAGAAGTGGGTGATCCAGACCGAGCTTAGAGGGAAGGTGGGCGAGCAGAGGGTCCCCAGGCCATGCAAGGAGCTTGAAAGTTACCTGCGGCAGTGGGGAGTTAATGAAGACTTTAAGTCAGAAATTCCACAACTGTCCTCCTGATTGGATTATAGGGAAGGGGTGAAAAAAATCAAGGCAGCAGTTAAAGAGAAAGCCTAACAGGCTACGGAGACAACCTATGCAGGAGGCTGTGTGACCTGCATGGGGTAAGGCAGGGGTGAAGCCAGTGGAACAGAGCTGGTGGGGAGGGGAGGTGGATACAGAAGATTGTGACTCCGCATTTGAGATCTACAGCTGCAAAGTAGCAAGTATGTGCTTTAAATGGGGAATACAAGGAGTTTCTTTTTGACCAGCTTGACTTTAAGGTACATGTGGCACTGCCATGTGGTCTCAACACAGCTTAGAATAACAAGAAAGGCAGAAGGAAATCTGCGAATTATTAGTGTAGAGATAATTAATCGGTATCACCCAGGGAGAGGATACAGAGAACAAGACACCAAAGACACACATATCTAAGGAACAAGAGCCCATAGCGAAGTTGCCACGTGATGATTAAGAGAAATGAAAGGAACACAAGAGAAGTTTGGCTCCAAAGGGGGAGTGAACTTTTCAAGAGGGGAGGAGCGGCGCTTGGAGTCAGACAATGCTTAACTCAGTGACATAAGAGTCTTGGGTGGTCTTGATGAGCTTAGAGGTTTCAGTGATGGGCAAGAGTGTGAGCCAGGCTGCAACTAGTTGAGAAAAGAGAGATTAGGAAATGAAAGCAATACGTTCAGGGGCTTTTTTGAGCAAACGACATTCAAGTTCAATGGGCATGGGGAGGCTTTTTATACAGAGGGATCTCAAAGTGTCTAAATACTTACGGAATGCACCAGGAGAAATCCAGAGGTTCAAAGCACAGAAGAGAGAATGGGTAATCAAGGCTGTGGAGCTGTGGAAGACTGAGACCCACAACTAGGCCGAAGAAGTAAGATTTAGGTGGAAAGAGAAATGAGACCTCTATCCTAAAAGTCAAGAAGGAGCACAGGGTGGAATGGGACAGACAAAGTTGTAGGTGAGGATGGTAGAATATTAAGCTCTTTTTCTATTTGAAAGTTCTTAAAATTCTAACATATGCAGCATACAGTTTTCAGAAAACAATACAAGGAAGAGATAATGTCAGAATGACTTCAGTAAAACACTGTGCAAGAATGCGTTGCTTTTACCACTAAAAAATTTACACTTCCAGTCTAAAAATGAGAAACAAACATAGTAACTGTAAATATTTGAAAAATAGTCCTCTGGAATATAGCCAACATTTCCATGCCAAGCTTACTGACCTATCAGAAGGCAATAATTAAGACTTAGCACAATGCTTCCAAAGAACAAAATATTCTAGATGATTTGATATTCTAGATATCTGAAGTTTAAATTTCTTAACGTTTTGACAATTATTGAGCAAATCTTGTTTAGCAAAGGGACCCTCCTAAGTCTACCTATATTTGATGATGGCTGTCTGCAATTACAACTGGTACCCAAGCTGCTCATCTTATTAAGGAGACTCACCCAGCGCTGCTGCTCAAGAAACTGTCTAGAAAACAAATAGGGCCAATTTTGAAACAGATACTATTACATTAATTTTCACTTGAATCTGCTGTCCACACAAAGTAGAACTGACTCAAGAATGCCAAGGTGACCTGGATGCATTCAGTAGGCCAGTACCCGGTGGGCTGACAGCCGTGACTCAAGAAGTTTTTTTGACTTATTTCTAAATTAGTAGCCAAATTTCAAACTGAAGTATGTTCACGGACAAGTACAAATGTTATGGTACAAGAAAGTGCTTTTTGTCTAAAGACAAAAAACTGAGAAGCACTTCAGAATACTCTGGTTTTCTCTCAATGTTCTCCTTCCAGACAGAGCCCAAGGGCCCTCTCAATTTACTACTCTCCACCCTCCCCAAACAGCTACCTAATTTAACTGATGGTTAGAATTCCACCACTTTTGTTTCAATGCTAGCAGAAATTCCTTTCATCAAACTGTGGCAGAGAAGGAATTCAACCAGAATTCACATTTATTTTTAGTCCAAGTTCAAGACTTCTAGATGGACATTATACCAACATATTTCTGGTTTATGGTTTTGTTGGAAAGATATTTATTTTAAAATGGTCATTTTGCAAACCATTATTTTCAACGTTGCAAAGCATGATCTGATTTGGTACTTCTTAAAATACAGAAATAATGTTTCACCAGAGATTTCTATCATTAGCATCTTGGCAGATTGTGAAAACACTGCTATTGGCTGAGAGAAGTTTGGAAGTTCATGCTGGCTTTAAATAAATCTGAATAAAACATTTATTGTGGTACTCAGAGAAAGAAATTAAAAGTGCCTGCTAATCATGATTTAGAGCTTCTAAGATTTAAGTTTAGAATATGCAAAGAATTTTAAAAATTAAAATAACTTGAAATGATTAGGTCCATAAAGCTGAAATCTTACATTCTTACCAGTACATATTTATATTCTACTTACTAATATATCACAGCCATAATTTAGCCAATTTATCCTTTCACCAAACGTTTAAAACATTGCATTAACTAAATTCAATCTATCAGTTGTATATGAACTGTCAATTTCTCTAAAAGGTCAAGTCTCAGAAATGGTCATAAGGAAAAAGAAAATGGTCTAAATGAAATGTCTAAATAGCATTCTAGAGAGCAGGGAGATACAGGCAGAGGAAGTAAGACAAGTATAGCTGGCAGTTGTGGTACAGTTAAG